GCTTGGCCAGCACTCTAACCATCAAGCCACACTGGTCAGGGCAAACAACACATATTTTGAATGCCGATTAAGAGCCAGACCTAGGGCCAATCAGTGCTTTGGAGGACATACAGCCTCATGGGGAAGTGCACATGTAAGCAGACAGAATAGCCAAAGCTCCATCAGGATGTATGTACGATGTGAAGTGGACCCTCAGTGGCTTACACTTTAGGACTACCTTGCCCTAAAGAAGGGCGGCCAGCCACATGGAGTCTTTGAAAAGGAGTCCAAAGGGAGCTTTTTAAGGAGGTGTCTTCCCACAGTCTCCAAAAATATTCCAAGTAGAGAGAAAAGCAGCTCACCCGGTCTCAGGCACAGCCAGCCTCCTGGCTCACATGCCGAGGTAACCAGACGACCTTCCAAATGGTACATGGGAACCCCGGGCCGATCCACTCCAGCGAGAGGAAATCAATGCCCTCGGCAAGCAGCCTGTCGCCGTTCACCCTGCTGAGGTTCTCTTTCTGTCGTGAATTAATAGGTGGTTGTTCTGGGCGAGGGGCAGCTGTGGGCATGTCATTGGGAGTCTATGTCCTACACGCTGCCACCCAGTGGAACATTCCGTGATCGTGTTCCACGGCGCAGCCAGTCACGTGTGGCTATTGAAGGTGGGAACAGAAGACGTGATTGATAATGTTATTTCATTGTGATCGATGTAAACAGCCACGGGGAGCGAGGGGCTTGCCTGCCTGTGAGCCTGCAGCGTCTGCATCGCCAAGCTGATCAGAAATGCAGAACCTCAGGCGCCACCCTATCCCGTGGTCGGCAAACCTCGGCTCGAGAGCCACCTGAGGCTCTTTGGCCCCTTGAGTGTGGGGGCAAGTCTATGTTGAAGAAGTGACGTTAGAAGAAGTTTAAGTTTAAAAAAATTGGCTCTCCAAAGAAATGTCAATCGTTGTGCTGTTGATATCTGGCTCTGTGGACTAATGAGTTTGCCGACCACTGTCCTACACCCACGGCTTCAGAATCCTCGGGTTACAAGATTCCCAGGTGATCTGAATGCACATTAACATTTGAAAATGGCCGAAACCAGTTTGGCGCAGTGGATAGAGCATCAGCCTGCAGATTGAAGGGTCCCAGGTTCGATTTCGGTCAAGGGCATGTACCTTGATTGCGGGCACATCTCAGTAGGGGGTGTGCAAGAGGCAGCTGATCGATGTTTCTAACTCTCTATCCCTCTCCCTTCCTCTCTGTAAAAAAAATCAATAAAATATATTTAAAAATAAATAAATTAAATAAATAAATAAATAAAAACATTTGAAAATGGCATGGTTACTGCTTTATTTTCTTTTGGGGGGTCAGGGACTGGGAGCAGAAAGTAAAGGGTTCCTGGCAAAGTTACTTCAGAATGAGCTGGTGCAGGGGGTGGGGGATGGATGCGGGGGGGTGAGGACCAGCCGAGGACCACACCTGTGGTGGCCTCTCCCAGCTGCAGACACCTGAGGCTGGTGCTCGGCTTAAGGGGCCTTCTTTCCTGTGTCTGTCTCTCCTCCATCCCTTACACACAGCAGAGGGCGAGCAAGAGAGAGCCTGGGCCATTGCGTCTAAGGCAGTGGTCGGCAAACTCACGAGTCCAACGACTGAAATTCCTTTTGAGAGCCACATTTTTTTAAACTTAAACTTCTTCTAACACCACTTCAACATAGACTCGCCCAGGCCGTGGTATTTTGTGGAAGAGCCACACTCAAGGGGCCAAAGAGCTGCATGTGGCTCGAGAGCCGCCGTTTGCCGACCACGGGTCTAAGGAAAGTTGTGAGGGTGAGGGTTTTGGGGAAGGGCATGCGTTTCCCGTTACAAAAGAAAACGATGGGATTTCCTTACTGAGAACTGAAAGGGAATGGTCGATGTTGGTTGCATTCTTCCCTCCACTTCTGTGCAGGTTTGAACTCTTTCAAAATCAGAAAAACAGATGTGACTTCCGCGATGATGTGTGTGAGAGCCAGCCCCGCCCCTGCACCCCTCGTGCGCTCTCCTTCCTTCCACGCTGAATCAGGGTGGTCCATGCAACTCCCAACGTGGAGGTGACAGGTGTGGCTCCTGCCCGGCTGGCTCTTGGCGATCTTGCCCCGGAGGAAGCTGGCCACCGGGCTGCGAGGACACTCCTGCGGTCTCGTGGAGAGACCTCCAGGGAGAGGAGCCAAGGCCCACAGCCAGCCGCACGGGTGAGTCAGGGAAAGAAGTCCGTTCTCCAGCCCTGGCCTCGCCTTCCAGCGACCCACCCACCGTAGCTCCATCTGACGTGTGATGGCAGCTGCCGAGAGACCCCTGCCCCCAAGCCCAATGCCCGCCAAAGCACCCCTGAATCTCTGACCAACAGAAACTGCCTGTGACCGGCATGGAGTGTCTATATCATCCTATGAAACCACCGTGTTAAAGTCTGGGGGTTGTTATGTAGCAATAGGGAAGGATACAAGGTCATTTCGGGGTTCCTCACTCCCTCATGCCCTCCCGACTCACCACGGGTGCCAGGGACGGGCAGGAAGAAGACACACGACTTCCATGCTGATGATATCCCTCGGAGAGATCCTGCGCTCACTTAAGTCCTGGGCAGATGCCTGTGAGGGACAGACATTCTCTGTAAAACCCTCAGCGGGCTAATGGACTGCGCCATTCGTCTCAGTGTGCACCTGCTGCCCTCAGAGACGAGAAAGAATAAAAAAGGAACTTCTTCCTCGGGGTCCACCACCCCATAGCTAGAGTCTGGATCATAAGGTCTCCACTCTCCCTACCCGCCCCTGGCCCAGCCCTAACCCCTAACGACACTTCCTGTGAACAGCTTCTTCTGTTTCAGTGCTGCCCCCGCCCCCAACAAGACCCCCGCCCCTCATCTTTAGGGTTTGGTGACAGAGAAACTACCCTGGAGCATGGCTCCAGAAGGAGGGGCGTGAGTGGCAGGGGGAGGTGGAAAAGGGCTGGCACTGGGGCAGAAAGGGCGCTGGTGGCCAGGCCCAAGGGAAGAACGACCCCCCAGGCTGGGAGGGTTTTGAAGTTTCCAGGGAGAGAAAGAAGCCTGTGGCTGGTTTGTCTGCAGCCCGTGTGTGTGTGTGTGTGTGTGTGTGTGTGTGTGTGTGTCTGTGTGTGTGTCTGTGTGTGTGTGTCTGTGTGTCTGTGTGTGTGTCTGTGTGTGTGTGTCTGTGTGTCTGTGTGTGTCTGTGCGTGTGTGCGTGTGTCTGTGTGTGTGTCTGTGTGTGTGTCTGTGTGTGTCTGTGTGTGTGTCTGTGTGTGTGTCTGTGTGTTTGTATGTGTGTGTGTCTGTGTGTCTGTGTGTGTCTGTGTGTGTCTGTGTGTGTGTCTGTGTGTCTGTGTGTGTCTGTGTGTGTGTGTCTGTGTGTGTGTGTCTGTGTGTGTGTGTCTGTGTGTGTGTGTGTGTGTGTGTCAGGGATGGAGTGGGAATTGCCGAAAGGGGTGTCTAAAGAGTGAGATCTGGGGCCTGCACATGCACCACAGACCCCCCCCCCCCCTTTACCCCTCTCCTGCCCATCTGCCTCGCAGGCTGGAGCGCTGCACCCTCCTTGGCACCCAAGGGCGGTGGTGGAGTGAGTGGTGGCATCAAGGAGGGGTCAGGGGCCTGGGAAGGCGCTTCCCCAAATTTTTGGGGACTTCGCAGCCCTAGAGAGAGGGGGAGGGGGAACCTAATGAATTTCCCGCCAACCCTGAGCTTAGATTGCTTTAATTTGCAAAATCAAAAGACGTGCGGCGCTCCTCGCCCGCCCGCCCGGGAGGCGGTGGTTGCAGCAGCGAATTCACTCCGAGCTACTCCTCGGGAGAGCGGTTTGTGGGCGCCGGGACGGGGATGGGGGGGGGGGGGAGGCGGAGCGAGCAGCAGAGCCCCCTCCCGGACAGTCCCCGCCGCCGGGGGGACCCGGCCCGGACGCTCCCGGGAGCCGCCGCCCGGCGCGGGGCTCCCCGCAAACGCCGCACGTGCGCCCCGCCCCCGCGCGCGCCCGGCCCCGGCGGCCACGGGCGCGCGCGCGGTGCCGCTGCCCCCACGCCGCCCCGGCGCTCCGATCGCGCCGCCGGCTCCGCGCCGCTCCCGCCGGGCCCTCCGCGCTCCGCAGGCGGCAGGCGGCGGCCGGGGTCGCGGGCCCGCGGGCGGAGGCGCCGGGAGGAGCCCCGGGAGGAGCCCCGGGAGGCGGGCCGTGTCCCGGGCGCGGGCCGCTGCGTAAGGCGGGCGCCGCCGCCACAGGCCGGCCGGTGAGGCGCCGCCGCCGGGGAGGCCGCGACCGGAGCGCCGGACCCGCCATGGGCTGAGACCGTCCGCCGCCGAGCAGGTGCAGTGACCCGAGGCCCCGGAGGGGGGAGCCCGTGCCCCCTGACCTCCCCCCTGGCCGCCCTGGAGGCCCTGCGGACCCCCCTGCACGGCGGCCTGGGCGGCTGGGAAACCACAGCAACCTGAGGTCTCCGCACCCCCCCCCCCCCACCTTCCTGCCATCCGGCCCGGTCAGCCCCGTGTCCACCTCCTTTGGCCCCGCAGTTAAAAATATATATATATATTATTGATTTTTCACAGAGAGGAAGGGAGAGGGATAGAGAGCTAGAAACATCAATGAGAGAGAAACATCGATCAGCTGCCTCCTGCACACCCCCCACCGGAGATGTGCCCGCAACCAAAGTACATGCCCTTGAGCAGAATAGAACCTGGGACCTTCCAGTCCGCAGACCGACGCTCTATCCACTGAGCCAAACCGGTTTCGGCTGGCCCCGCGTTTTGAGCCACTGCCTGCAGCCGGGGAGCTGGCCGGCATCTCTGCCTTTGACTTCTAGTCCAATGGCGCAGGGGGGTAGGTTGAGGGGAGGCTGGGGGAGTAGGGGGGTGGGTCCTTCCCTCCTTGGTCCTGGTGCCCATAGCCCATCCTCTCTCCCTCATGCCTGAGCTGAAAGACCCTTCTTTGTCCCTCCAGATCATGCCGGGGTGACCCTCTCCCGGACCTTCCTGGCGGCCTTCCTCGCTCCCCGGTGACACTATGCAACCCCCGCGGGACCTGCGAGGCCTCTGGCTGCTGCCGCTGCCCTGGTTCCTGCTCCTGGGCGGCGGCGGCGAGGTGGCCGGAGCCGGCCGGCCGGCGGTCAGCTGCCCGGCCGCCTGCCTGTGCGCCAGCAACATCCTCAGCTGCTCCAAGCAGCAGCTGCCCAACGTGCCCCACGCCCTGCCCAGCTACACGGCCCAGCTGGACCTCAGCCACAACAACCTGAGCCGCCTGCGGGCCGAGTGGACCCCCACGCGCCTCCCCCACCTGCACTCCCTGCTGCTGAGCCACAACCACCTGCACTTCATCTCCTCCGAGGCCTTCTCCCCGGTCCCCAACCTGCGCTACCTGGACCTGTCCTCCAACCAGCTGCGCACGCTGGAGGAGGCGCTGTTCAGCGAGCTGCAGGCCCTGGAGGTGCTGCTGCTCTACAACAACCGCATCGTGGCCGTGGACCGCGCCGCCTTCGAGGACGTGGCCCAGCTGCAGAAGCTCTACCTGAGCCAGAACCAGATCGTCCGCTTCCCCCTGGAGCTGGTGCGGCTCCCCAAGCTGGCGCTGCTGGACCTCTCGGGCAACAGGCTCAAGAGCCTGCCCGTGGCCGAGCTGCAGAAGCTGCCCGCCTGGGTCAAGAACGGGCTGTACCTGCACAACAACCCGCTGCACTGCAGCTGCGAGCTCTACCAGCTCTTCGCCCACTGGCAGCGCCGGCGGCTCCGCCCCGCCGTGGACTTCCAGGAAGACCTGCGCTGCCTGAGCGCCAAGAAGCCCTACAGCGTCTTCGGCCTCAACTGCAGCGAGTACAAGGAGCGGGCCTGGGAGGCCCACCTGGGCGACAGCCTCACCCTCCACTGCGACACCAAGCAGCAGGGCATGGCCAAGACGTGGGTGACGCCGGGCCACGAGCGTGTGCCGGACGCGGCCACGGCGGCGGCCAACGGCACGGCGCGGGTGCTGGGCAACGGCAGCCTGCACCTGCAGCGCGTGCAGGCGGAGGACGGCGGCGTGTACACCTGCTTCGCCGTCGGCGAGGCGTTCAACGAGACGCTGTCGGTGGAGCTGAAGGTGCACAACTTCACGCTGCACGGCCACCACGACACCCTCAACACGGCCTACACCACGCTGGTGGGCTGCATCCTCAGCGTGGTGCTGGTCCTCATCTACCTGTACCTCACGCCCTGCCGCTGCTGGTGCCGCGGCGTGGACAAGCCGGCCAGCCACCAGGGGGACAGCCTCAGCTCCTCCATGCTCAGCACCACGCCCAACCACGACCCCCTGGCCGGAGGCAGGGACAAGCAGGAGGAGGAGGAGGAGGAGGAGGAGGACTTTGACCGGCGGGTGGCCTTCCTGGAGCCTGCCGGGCCCGGGCAGGACCAAAACGGCAAGCTCAAGCCGGGCAACACCCTGCCGGTGCCCGAGGCCGCGGGCAAGGGGCAGCGCAGGATGTCGGACCCGGAGTCCGTCAGCTCCGTCTTCTCGGACACGCCCATCGTGGTGTGAGCGGGACCGGGTGTGGTGGGGAGGTTCCGCCCCAGGAGAGGACGGCGCCCCTGGAGGATGGGAGGGGGTGGAGCAGAGAGAGGGCTGTCTGGCTGGCAGGCTGGCTGCCCAGGGGCGTGGGTTCCCCCTGATCTCGAGAGGATGGGTCGCGGGTCCAACAGGAGGCAAGGCCCCGCCCGACCGGGGTGCGGCCGCCACAGTTTTCACTTACGGATCTATCGGCCCTCAGGCCAAGGCCACACCCCTCCCGCGCACCGCACCTGTCCGGGCGGTGAAGGAGGGGGCGTGTCTGAGTTGGGTGGGAGTGAAGAAGGGGTGGGGGGAAGAGCCGATTCCCTAAACCTGTCCGAGGTCGTCCCTAGCTCCCTAAGAGAATCTCGTTTGGGGGGATCTTTCTCTCTCTCTGCCCACCCACCCCTGCGAGGTGGAGGTATGGGGACGCCGTTGTGTCACCTCCGGCCAGGAAGTCGCCCTCCACGGCCAGCTGGGGGGGGGGAATTGGAAGTTTTGGGAGAATGAGTCAGGAAAAGGCGGAGGCCTCCACCACTAGCTCTCCCCAGCGCTGAGACTTCCCCATGTCTTCATGTCTCCCAGGGAGCCTGGCTGGCCACCGGCAGAGAGGGCAGCGGTGGGCGGTGTGGTGTCTGTGCCCTGTCCCAGGGCCAGGGGCACCAAGGGGGCCCCCCCAGAGCCCAGGGGCAGCACAAAACCGGCAGCAGCTGGGGGCGAGGACTCCCGATTGGCTCACCGGGCTCAGGCACCTGTCAGGCCAGGCGGGGGCTGCTGAAGGGGGGCCGGGACCTCTCAGCACTGCTGGTCCCACCGGCCTTCCTGTGACGCCGTCTCTCCATGCAGGCTCCTCGGCTCAGGCGGGACTCTGCTTCCCCAGGGTCCTGGGACGCCTGGCCCCGGCTGGGTGTGTGGGTGGGGGACACGGGGGGACCAGGCGTGTATCTCCTGTGTCACCCAGGCTGCCTTGCTCCCCTCAGGGCGTCCCCGGCTGCAGAGCCCCGTGTGGGATTCCGTGGCGGACGGCTGGGATTGGGTGGCCGTGGCCCCAGGAGAGCCGTTCGGAGTGTGGCTTAGGCTCTGTCTCCACGAGGCTCCAGGCGGCCTCGTGGCGGAGGCGGTGATGGAGCCGGGCGGTGGCACAAGCTCCAGAAGGGGGGCTCTGTCACCCCCTGCGCGGCCAGGGGTCTGTGCGGGGGAGCGGGGGGGCGGGGGGGCGGCATCCCATTCCATCCACGGCCACAGAGCGCTCTGGGCATGGAGGTGGCCACGCCCCGCTCTGATGGGGGGCCCCAGGAGGGGGCCGCTCTGAGCTTGGTCAAGGGCGTGGCCGGGCGGAGGTGAGGATGTCGGCCTTCCGCCGTCTGTCCCCTCTCGCACCACGTTCCCTGCCAGACCTTCCGCCGGCGCCTGAGGTTCCACAGGGTGTGGTCGGCCTGCGGGCGAGGCTCTCGAGGAGGGAATGCCCCGCGGCCCGAGAAGATGGGGGACGGATGGGCCCTGGGAGGTCAAGGCTGCCGGTCACACTTGCTTAGTGCCCAGCGTTGTCGAGAGGGACAGCGTCTCCCTCACGTCCTTGCATGCTCCTAGACACGCACACTCCCAGGCACGCATGCACGCGGCACCCCGCCCACCACCGGGACCCTGCCCACCACGGGACCCTGTCCACCACGGGACCCTGTCCACCACCGGACCCTGCCCACCACGGGACCCTGTCCACCACGGGACCCTGCCCACCACGGGACCCCGCCCACCACGGGACCGCGACTCTCCCGTCCCCGCTGTGCACTTCCGAGCGGCCTCCACCTGCGGGCACCAGCCACATGCACCTCCCCTTCCCCGCGGGCGATGGTGACCGGCCGGCCCCCCAGATCCCCTCTGTACTGTACATCCTGAACTCTGAAGCGTCCCCCACATCTCGTGGCGCCCAGTAACTTCTCCGCGAGGCCTGGATGGAGTTCGGGAGCCCCAGGCCGAGGACCTTGGGAGGAGGGGTGATGAGGAGGGAGCTGGGTCTTCGGACCCTCAGAACCCTCCCCGGGGCGGGAGGCGGCAGGTGGCACGGGGTGCTCAGCGAGGCCAAGGGCAGGACGCCGGCCGGCCGGGCCCGAGCAGCTGCCAGATGCCCTCGGGCTCTCAGCGGCCCATGAGGCAGGCAGGCGGGAGGGCCGGTTGTCCGATGAGGTTCTGAGACCCGGGGGGTGGTGGGGGTGCATTTGGTGCTGGGGCCGGAGGAACCCGGGCTCCCGCTTGCTTCCCGGGAGCCTGGGAAGTCTCCCCTCCACGCGGGCCACCCTCCCCTCCAGAGCCGCCAGGGCGCTGACAGCCTCAGTGAGCGGAGCTCGGGAGAAGCAGGCCTTTGGGGCCTTCTGGCGAGGTCCTGGGCGAGGAGGGCGTCTTCAGAGGGCCTGCCCGAGGCGGGAACGGGAAAAGGTCCCTGCTCTGCCGCTGTGAGAGCCCCGTCAGGTGTGCCTGGCCCTCCCCTCACGCTGCACCAGCCTCTCCCGTGGTTTCAGCTGGTGGAGCCCCGGGGCGGGACCGAGCGCTCGGCAGACGTGAGCTCCCCAAACCCCGAACCCCGGGGAGGAAGCTGCCAGGTCTGGTTCTAGGAACCGGCTGCGAGGCCCCGCTCCACCGCCACCCCCTCCCCACACACCGGGGTCCCTGGAGGCAGCAGGGCAGGGCTCTCTGGTCTGTCTGTCCGACTGTGTGTGGCCTTTTCCTTCGGTTGTGTTTGGGGGGCTCCTCGGGAGGAGCCGGGGAGGGCCGGGCCGAGGATTCGTTCTCTCTGTGTTCTTACCTCCGCTTCCGCGCAGCCCCGCTGGCAAAGCAGGCCACACCCCGCGTCCAGCACCCCGTCTCCCCTGCCCTCCGTGTACGCCCTGGCTGGCACACCTCGGAGCCTGTGGGCTCTGACAACTAGACAACGACCATTAAACCTGGCTTGAATCTCACTCTGACTGGTTCGTCTCTCCGCTCGGCCTGCGGGTGGGTCCGCTGGGCTCGGAGGGTGCGGCCTGTGCAGGGAGAGGGTGTTTCGGGGCCGGGTAAGGGCGCCCGTAGCATCCGCGCCCCGGCATGGAGGCAGGCCGGGCCCAGCAGGACCCTGTGAGGAGCCAGAGTGCGGGCTGGGCCGGCCGTGCGGTCTCTGTGATGGCTCCTCCCCATGCCTGGGCGAGGGACGTCACGTGGACGGACAAAGGCGTGTGAAGCAAGTTCCAGACTTTCTTCGTGGACGTGGACATGGGGAGTTCACGTAACTGTCACGGGTCTGTGGAGTTTTTTCAACCATTCATTTACTTTTTGATTCACTTATTTGTTAATCCTTCCCCAGGGATGTTTTTTCCAATGATTTTTAGAGAGAGTAGAGGGGCAGTGAGAGGGAGGAGCAGAGAGAGTGAGAGAGACACACGGTTGGTTGCCTCCCTCCTCGTCCCCACGGGGGCCGGGGATGGAGCCTGCTGCCGAGGTAGGTGCCCTGGACCAGAATCGAACCCGAGACCCTTCAGTCCAAGGGCTGACACTCTGATCACTGAGCCGCCCAGGCTAGGGCTTCAACGATACAAACGTGTGAAAACGTTTATTGGCTCATGGGCCCTTCCAGGGGGCTGGTGTGGGCCGGCAGACCATCATGTAGATCATTGTTTCCCAAACTTCTCTCGTGATGAGAATCACCTGGTGGAGTTGTTAAACTACAGATTCCCGAATCCCAACTAAGAAGCGCTAAACTAGAATTTTTGGGAACATATAGGTAAAATTGTATACTGAACTTAGTGCTCTGTCTTAGTTAAGTATAGGTAAAATTGTATACTGAACTTAGTGCTCTGTCTTAGTTAAGTATACAATTTTACCTGTATGTTCCCAAAAATTCTAGTTTAGCGCTTCTTAGTTGGGATTCGGGAATCTGTAGTTTAACAACTCCACCAGGTGATTCTCATCACGAGAGAAGTTTGGGAAACACTGACCTCGCTCGATTCTCAGAAGAAACGTCACAGGTGCCTTCGCCGGGGAGATTGGCGAGTCCGCTGGGCAGGGGGCACCTGCGGACAGAGAGGGCGGCCGGAGCCCCGCGGCGGAGGCTGTCCCCGCAGAGCTGGGTTCCGGTCCGGCACACGCCTTCGAAGGACGTGGTGGGAAAGCCTGGGCCGGGCTGAGTGAGTCGGCGGGCCGCTCGCTGTCACACTGCTTTTTCACTGGTGCATCTCCACGTTGTGAATGGCGACTGCCTGGTCTGGGGGAAGGTCTGCTCGGCTCCCGGGCAGTTACTGATCCTAGATGGTTCATGGGCACCCCCTCCGCCCTGCACCGAGCAGGGACCCCCTCCCCGCCTCCTCGGCACAGACCGGGCCCACCGAGCTGGGACTGGACTCTGCTGAGCGCTGAGCTGTGGCTCCTGCGGCCACTCTCTCGGCCACTCTCTGGGAGGGGCCTGTCGTGCTGGGTTCCAGAGGGGAGAGGAAATGGCAGAAGGAAAGACAGACTTGAAAGAGAATCTGAGTTGGGAAAACAACCCCGTTTCTTCTGTGGATCAAAGCTTGACCAGAGGGCAGTCCTCCTCCGTGTCAGCGAGCAGCACGCCCGGCGAGGAGTGGAGACCCACAGCCACACCCCGGCAGGCAGCCAGGGAGGTGGCCACTGTGGACGTCAGAGCCCCCCCCCCTCTCCCCCCCGTCTTCCTCCCCTGAGCAGCTCTGCTCTGGCCGAGTTTGGTCAAGAGGATGAGGCTGCTAGAGAGCAGGTCTGGGCGGACTCCTGGGGGAGGGGGGCCCCTCTCTCTTTTGGCTTGTGCCCAGCCCTGCCTCTGAGCCTGAGGAGGGAGTGTGTGTGTGTGTGTGTTAATATATTTTTATTGATTTCATAGAGGAATGGAGAGGGAGAGAGAAACATCAATGATGAGAGAGAATCGTTGATTGGCTGCCTCCTGCACGCCCGACACTGGGAATTGAGCCCGAAACCGGGGCCTGTGCCCTGACCGGGAATCAAACCGTGAC